AACATAATCCAAAATGTGAAAGCAAAGACACACAACGATAGATATTAGACAAATATACCACTTAGAGTTCTAAGTCCACCCTGTAGTTAAGTATGTCACTTAAGGAGGTATAAATTAAAATCACATAAAAGCTAAGATGGAAACGTCATCTAGCACAACCTGCTCTGCTAAAAACAGGGCCAACTTCAAAACTAGATCTAACTGTGAAGCTAGAATTGGCCGTTGTCATCAGCTACTTTGCTGTTGAAATCAAATTCTGCAATACGACTTTTGGGTTCTTGTATTTTAATCCGAGCCCCTCTTGTAGCTGGTAATTTTTGCAGATGTTGGAAAACAATTTATCGCTTTCCAAAAGTGCAGGTTTGGTTGCTTTGAAAAGGACCAGTGAACTGAGTGAGGCCTATTAATGTCAATAAATCACATACCTAGTAACTAAAGTGAAGACCACAAACGTTATCAAAAAAGACCTCCATATTTAGGATACAACAGAATTAAAGTTTCAAGTGCCACCTCTCTTGCATATGCATTATGCTACAAATTCCTTAACTATATAGTCACTTTCTCCTCTTTTCCATGCAGTGGACAGAATGAACCAGACTCATGCAGTGAGTAACTTTCAAGTTATGTTCTCTTCACTTGTGTGAAATATACTTAAGTTACAAAACTTCTACAAACCTTACTCTGAAGACAGTATGATCAGCTTGCTCACACACTTTTAACACCACTCAGTATAGCAGTATCTCATCACTTCAAAAGACACATGTGAATTACTGTCTTCAAAACACAGGTAGCTAAAGGGTCCATTTTACAGACTGGGAGCCAAGGCAACACTGCCATCAAAGGCTCTACCTAAATTCGTTTTTCTGACATAACACATTCAAAAACCCAAAGAAGTTATCATTTTATAGATAATTCTATAATATACAGAAGTATACACATATATTCATGCACAGAGAAAGTCACTCATGCACTGAAGTCAAAGGGACATGCGCTTGGCATGCAGTTCAGAGTGTTCAGTACTTAAAGAATGGCAGATTTTTAGATCTGAACGTGAGGGCCCATAAAAACAAGCAGGTAATTAGTTAGTCGTCACAGAAAGGGTAGTGTATGTCACTTGCCCAGAATCACTCTGTATAATAGTAAAACTATATAATAAGGCCACAGAAAGCTACCCAGGCAATTCAAAATCTGGCATTCCCAACTGTTCTTTGGAGTGTGGCTTCAGTAAATATTGTCATCAGGGAGGTTCAGAAATGTACTTCCTTAGCCTTCTAGAAAAAAACAATTAAAAAGGAGCCAATTTCTCCATGTGTCATTATACTGCTATGAACATAAAACAGGACTGGAAATTCTAGGGCTGCCATAGAGACATCTTTCCTCTGAACACTGAACAGCTGTGATCTAGTCGTAGATCCACCTCATTAAACCCACAAGCTTAAGATGAAGACCACGTGCCTCCAAGAGAAGAGGGTAGACATGAAGAAGTCAGGAACAATCCATCTGTGCAAAGTGGTTCCCTGTCCCCTTACCGTCTGCCTATTTCCTGGTGGGTGAAGGCTGGCATGGACATACCCCATGCTGCTGTGGGCAACTGGAAAGCATGCTGGCAGGCCAGGGTGCCTGGCTCGCTTCTCCCCCACACTGGACACCCAGACGACCCCACAACCCTTGTGCCAGCCCCTCACTGCTGCCAGTCACAAGCGAGGTCTGTACTGGTAACTGCTTCTACCACAGCTGTCACTCTGCAGCCAGGCCCACCCCACCATGTGCCCCTTCTCCTCCCAGACCACGTGCCTTGCCCAGCTAGTCTCAATACCCTGTCAACCTCTTGCACATCTTCCTACTTTGCCTGCCCAGCCATCCTCTGTCAACCTCTAATGCAGCCTCTTGGCCATTTCCTTGCCTCCCAAGGTTTTCCCCTCTATCATATATTCAGGTCTCCAAGTCAGGTGGCCAGTCTCAACCACCTACTTGTCATCTGTTGAGCAGCCCCTGTCACCACTTTTCATCCCAACTTTCAGCCTTCTCCTCAATACACTCACTTTTTTTGACCCAATTCTCTTCATCCTTTCCAACTCATCTTCACAGGTCAAGAAAAAGTTGCCTCAACGTTTCCCAGATGTAAGAAGAGTCCTGAAAGCAGAGGACTTGGAGTCTCTTCTTAGTTCAGGCTCTGTTCAGATTCATACCCAGCGAACAGCAGCCCTGTGTAACAACTGCAGGAATAGCTCATCTTGGTTGTAAGCCAGAACTGCAGCAAACGATGCACGCACATACGTATGCGTGCAGCAAACGATGAGGATGTCAGCTAAGGTCACAATGAATTCATCAGCAATACTTCAAAAGGCTTATGGCCCTGCCAAATTTGAAAACAAAACGTACTAACTCAAAAGGAGAATCACATCAGTGCTTCTAGCTAACCACAGGCACAGAGTAAGTTTTATACCTAAATGTAAAATAATGGGTTGTGCATTCCACCTTAAGGCTCTTTCCATGCCTCGCCCCCACTATACAAATCATAGTCTCCCTCAAATCCAGGTCTTCTATGTACCCACTTTATTTCACATGAGTTTGCTTATAAACAGAACTCTGATATTTTTTTGGAGGACAATTATCTCACCCCTTAAAATAAACAAAAGAGAAATTTCAAACTGAGGGATGGCTGCACAAGGCTTTAAGAAAAAACTTTGCATGTTCTTTAACATTTATCAAGTATGTCACGGTACTAATGCACAGTGCTCTTACTTCAACAGTTATGTTCTTCTATCTCTCCCCTTTTTGATGATCATCTCATTAACCAGCTACAGGGATATGTTTCTAAAAGATGAACGCATCTCCCACAAAGTATCCTATATCAATGATTTATGACTGTCACTCTAACAAGACTGCTTGCAATGGCTAAAATCCATATTTTTTTCTTCTCCATTCTATCAGTGGTTTTGTTTGTTCTTCCATATGTTTGGAAAAAAGTTTTCCTCTACTCCATAGTTATTTCTTGATTGCCTGTACACCTTGCACTTCCACCGTATCATCGGTCAATTGATATTCTCTTAATCCAGTCACCTGCTGTCATACTATTCACACAAAGAAAATTGTCAGGCCCACAACAACATGCCTCACAAGCTTTCCCATCCTCCCCTTCACAACTTATTTTTTTCCTTCTTTTGATGATCACTTTTGTAACTCCAGCTTTCATGTTGGTTCATACAGAACATTAGCACTTCTCAGCTACCCTGCTAACAAGCATTAGGAGCCCAGCTTTCCTATGCTAGCTTAAAAAAAGAGTAGCTACCAGCCACCCTGAAGAATGCTGCAGTATCACAAACATTGCGTGAGAATAATTTCAAAAGCAGGAACAAAGAAAGATGTAGGCTCAACTGAAAAAAAGAATCAAAGACTTAAATTATACCAGTATTATACAACGGGGTAACCTTCAGGAGATTAACCTCCAAAATACAATTCAGAAAAATTCCTATACCTTCAAAAGCGTTTAAGAAATAATTTTTAGAGAGATAAATTAAAAAGGGAGAACATTAAATAAGGACTTATGGAAATCAGTCAGGACACAACACACCAGACCCATCCTCCCTCCAGTGTACATCTCTCAATGGATTAAAAAAACCAAAAACAAAAACGCAGTCAAAACAGGAGAAAATTCACAGAAAAGTAGAATTTCTGCACTGAAAAAACTGCCACTCAGTTATGGACAATAGTATTGCACCTCTACAACTTCTTCCATTTATCTTGAAAGCATCAAACAAAATGTCTATAGAACTTTATTCTCAGTATACTCCTTTTATTTGTCCCATTTCCTTCATTCATCTATGAGCTGCAACATGATTGACATCCTTTAACCAGAATTGTACAACAGCATGCCAAGCTAATTATTACATAAAAGATGATACACATTACCTCTCCAGGTCAAGCTACAATCCCCTATTTGGACGTCATTTTTAAAATTACAAGCTTTAATAACTTGTGCATTATTCTACTTCAGACACTATGGTCTTCAGTTTCAGAGAAGGTTTTGCTGCTCCTGTGTAGTTTTTGGTGAATGCTACCAGTACTGATAATAAAGACTGGTAACCCTTCTTCTGCAATAGATGAACCTATTTCTTTTACTTTTGTCAAGGCTCTCCATAAACAGAAGTGACAAAAGGACTTGCCTTCTTAAACCAGATTTTGTAGTTTGGTTTCATAGTTTAAGCTGGCTGGAATTAGTTATCTTTTGCCCCAGAGCTAACTTTCTATGCCACAGATTGATTTCTTGCCAAAAATGCATTCATATCCGATAGCAACAACAAAACAGGGGAGGAGGCACATTAGAGCAAGCAAATGCATTCATATGTTCAGAATGCAGTCAGAGGCAGGAGACAATTAGAGAAGGAAATTCAAAGTATAAGGCATTTCCTGAGGATTAATGAGTAGGTGGTAATGTTTGATAGTTAAGGGCAGGATGGGTTCTGCAACCAGCACAATTCATTAATCCCCCAGGCAACACAAACTGGTATTTTGCTATTTTTTTTTTTTCCCTTTTTGCTGCACTCGTTATTTTCCTTAGCATTTAATTAAAACTTCCATTTACTCTGACACCATTGTTCCTTCAGAGCCTAACGCTCTCTGTATGTCTGAACAGTGCTACTGTGGTAAATGACATCTATAAAATTATGGAATTAATACGTGGTGCAAAAGGCCAGATAACTTTTCAAGTTTAAGAAAGTTCTTCTAGTCTTCTCCTAAAAACTAAAAATGTTCTCTGCCTTACAAACAGAAAGGCCTCAGCAGATGTGATCCTTTCCTCTAATTTACAAGCTGCTTGATGGCCTCCATTATCCTATGGGTAGCAGACAAAGAGAGAATCGAGTATTGGAGAGAACAAATGATTTTCAAGCTGCTTTTCAGCTCCTTAGGAAGCCACATACACTAATGCATACACTAATGGGATATAACATGTCCCAGATCAGCAACCATCCCCTCCATCATCATAACTCCATACTGACCTGTGACTGGCGCATCTATGTCCAGCAAATTTTTTTCCTGGCGGAGAATTGAAGCTCCCTCTGTTATTATTCTCAAAGCAACGCTCTCTTCCAGTCTCCCTTCTTTCATAAGGTGTGCCTTTAAGATATCCACACGGGGTTTTCCATCATTATCAAACACTTCCTTAGCTGTGAGCCGGTGACTTGGAGGAAATGGGACAGCTGAGTGGAAAAAAAAAACAAAAATATCTGGTCACTTTTTACAGTAAAGCCTCTATTAATGATAATCACAGAATCATTAAGGTTGGAAAAAACCTTTAAGATCATCAAGTCCAACTGTCAATCCAACACCACCATGCCCACTGAACCGTGTCCCAAAGTACCACATCTACACGTTTTTTTGAACACTTCCAGTGATGGTGACTCCACCACCTCCCTGGGCAGCCTGTTCCAATGCTTGACCTCTCTCTCTCAGTGAAGAAATTTTTTCAAATATCCAGTCTAAACCGCCCCTGGCGCAACTTGAGGCCATTTCCTCTCGTCCTATCGCTGGTTACTTGGGAGAAGAGACCAACACCCACCTCACCACAACCCCCTTTCAGGTAGTTGTAGAGAGCGACAAGGTCTCCCCTCAGCCTCCTCTTCTCCAGACTGAACAACCCCAGTTTCCTCAGCCGCTCCCCATAAGACCTGTGCTCCAGACCCCTCACCAGCATAATGACACATTTCAAAAGACATCTCTGCTGCAAAACAGTGTTAACATGAGGTTTCCACTGCTTCTTATACTTTGTGGTTTAACTTGTACATAGATTATGAAACATACTATTAAAGCGCATGTATTCCGTAGGCTACATTATTCATGCATGCAAGAACAACTTATTCATGCCTATAAAAAATTGAGAGGAAGATTTAGGCCATATTTACAGGTAGATACACTCAAACAA